TTTTTTATCTCTAAAAATTTGACTTTTCTACATACCTCCTGTAGGTAGAATCACATAGTATTTGTTCTTTTATGACTGGTTTATTGCACTTAGCATAATGTCCTCATAATGACCATGTTGTAGGATGTGTCAGAATTTAATAGCTTTTTTAAGGTGGAATAATATTCTATTGAATGTATATACCACATTTGTTTGTATCCATTCATCAGTTGCTGGGCACTTGGTTTGTTTCTATCTTTTTACTATAATGAATAATGTTGCTGTGAACAGGGGTGTCCAATGATCTATTCGAGTTCTTGTCTTCACTTCTTTTTGTGTATATACCCAGAACTAAAATTGCAGAATTATATGGTAATTCTTTTTTCTTTTTAAACTTTTTTGATGTTTGTTTATTTTTGAGAGAGAGAGACAGAGACAGAGCACGAGTCGGGGAGGGGCAGATAGAGAGGAAGACACAGAATCTGAGAAGCAGGCTCCAGGTGCCCCTGGTAATTCGGTTTTTAAATTTTGGTGGGGGGCACCTAGGTGGCTCAGTCAGTTAAACGTCTGACTTGGGCTCAGGTCATGATCTCACGGTTTGTGGGTTCGAGCCCTGCGTCAGGCTCTGTGCTGACAGCTAGCTCAGAGACTGGAGCCTCCTTTGGATTCTGTGTCTCCCTGTTTCTCTGANCGGTTTGTGGGTTCGAGCCCTGCGTCAGGCTCTGTGCTGACAGCTAGCTCAGAGACTGGAGCCTCCTTTGGATTCTGTGTCTCCCTGTTTCTCTGCCTCCCCTGCTCACTCTGTCACACTGTCTGTCTATCTCTCTCTCAGAAATAAATAAAACATAAAAAATTTTTTTTTAAATTTTGGTGGAACTGCTGTACCTTTTGAAAAGCAGCCATGCCTGTTTACATTCTGGGAACGGGTACAACATTATCTCTATTTTTTCTCCACATTCTCACTGACACATTTTCTTTTCTTTCCTTTTCTTCTCTTTTCTGCCTGCCTGCCTGCCTGCCTGCCTGCCTTCCTTCCTTCCTTCCTTCCTTCCTTCCTTCCTTCCTTCCTTCCTTTTCTTTCTTCCTTTCAATAGAAGCCGTCCTAATGGGTGTGAGGAGCTGCAGCCTTAAAATCTAAGTACATCTGCAAACACATTTAATCTCCCAGTAGTGGGTCTTTAGCCTGAAAGGCAGCCAGTGTTACTGAGGTGAACTTCTGGAATTTGTTCAGCTGCACAGACACTTATTCCTCTCCCTCCATCTGCTTATTCCTAGCAGAGCCCCGCCAGCCACTTTTGAGTTGCTTCAGTGGTATAAATTCTCTCAATTCCTGGTGCCCAGCTGCTCAGCAGCATTCAGTATATACTTTGAACCTTAGTTTCCTCTCTTCACAAAAGGCAATTGATGGGGACCTATACATGGTTTACTTGAAGGAAAGAGATAGCATAAAAGTAATAAGCAGGATGAATGAGTTATAAAGTAAGACAGTGAGGGCAGATTCTATAGACTCCTTGTAGTACCAGCACAACAAAGCTAAGTGAAGGAACGAACACCTGGAAGGCCTCCTCCCCCCACCACATCCCACATTACCTCATCAGCCCCTCACCTGCCCCCTCGAGTCCTGTTCTGTTCTTAGGAAGATTCGATGTTAGATCATTTCTCCCTTATTGCAGACAATTCTAAAAGTATTTCCAAAAACTTATGTGTAGGCTAATGGAAGGGGAGCTATGATTTAAACATTTTATTTTATTTTATTTTATTTTAATGTTTTATTTATTTCTAGGAGAGAGAGAGAGACAGCGTGAGCAGGGGAGGGTCAGAGAGAGAGGGAGTCACAGACTGAAACAGGCTCCAGGCTCTGAGCTGGCAGTCAGCACTGAGCCCGACGCGGAGCTATGATTTAAACATTTTAATTTCACAATTAACTGTTACTTTTGGCAAGTCAGTAAACCTCACTACACCTGTTTTCTTAGCTTTGAAATGAAACTATTGGGGGGTGCCTGGGTGTCTCAGTCGGTTAAGGGTGTGACTTCAGCTCAAGTCATGATCTGGTGGTTCATGAGTTCAGTGTTCGAACCCCATGTCAGGCTCTGTGCTGACAGCTTAGAGCGTGGAGCTTGCTTTGGATTCTGTGTGTGTGTGTGTGTGTGTGTGTGTGTCTGCCCCTCCTCCACTTGCGCTCTGTCTCTCAAAAATAAACAACAACAACAAAAGTTTAAAAATAAAATTAAAAACAAAAAGAAATGAAACTATTGGACAAGAAGTCTTTAAGGAACATGCCAGCTCAAAATTTTAATTCCAAAATTTTCAATGATCCAAAAAATATTTCCTTTTATTTTAGAAATGTTTTATATATATCAAAACAATTCTGTCTTATTCTGCCCTCAGTGGCAACCTTATTTATGTTGAGTAGCTGCGAAAACTCAGAATCAGGTGCTTGTTGCTATTTATTCTCTGCCAGAAAATTGTAAATGTGTATGTCTGCATTTGCAGAGAGATGTGACTTCTCAGTCATTTGCCCTCTTATCCACCATCACCTCCAAATGTTTCTTTTCTAAAAGCACACACAAAAATGTCACTGAATTAGATGTAAATATAAAATGTTACCTAGAAGCAAACATTATATCAAGTGTGTGCTCCGTGGTATTCAAAGGCTGTAATTGCTCACCCAGCACTCCCTTTTTTACTCACTCACTGTCAAATTCATGTTGTAAACAATGTAAAAAGAGGCAAAATTCAGAAATGTCATCAACTCCCACAATATCACCATGATTGAAAGGTATTAAGCCTGTTATTGTTATGGGGCCAGCTGTTTTAATGGGTTTCCCAGCTTGTTGAGAATCATTTCAGAATAGTGAGTCAAGGAGTATGAAACCTGGAATCACCCAGTTCGTTCGTTCTTTCTTTCTTTCTTTCTTTCTTTCTTTCTTTCTTTCTTTCTTTCTTTTTTTCTTTCTTTCTTTCTTTTGAGAGCATGCAGGGAAGGGGCAGAGAGAGAGGGAGAGAGAGAATCCAAAGCAAGGTCCATGCTGTCAGCACAGAGCCCAGTGCAGGGCTCGATCCCACAAACTGGGAGATCATGGCCTGAGCGGAAATCAAGAGTCAGATGCTTAACTGACTGAGCCACCCAGGCGCCCCACCCAGTTGTTTCTGACACCTTTCAATTCATGTTACTGGGCATTTTTTAGAATAAGCTCTGCCTACCTGCTAGTCAATAAAAATAGTTTATTGAAAATAACTCTTATACATATTCATTCATTCATTCTGTGTTCTGGATAAACTTTTAAAAGGTTACACATGCTGCCCCTGAGTTGCTGTGTGTTCTAGGGTTTATCAGTAGTTGTTACCACATGCAGAAGAGAATCTCATAGATAATTCTTAGTTTTTAAACCCCTTTAACACTTAATACTTTGGCAGCATACAGCATACATGATAGATATAAATCAAGTAACTTACTTGAATGATTCTAAAATAAAGTTTGCAGTTTCTCTAGGTTAAAAGTCCATGTTATCAGGACTTCGGGGTGGCTCATTCAGTTGAGTATCCAACTTCGGCTCAAGTCATGATCTGGTGGTTTGTGAGTTCGAGCCCCGCATTGGACTCCCAGAGACTGGAGCCTGCTTTGGATTCTGTGTCCCCCTCTCTGCCCCTCCTCCACTCACATTCTGTCTGTCTTCCCTCTCTCAGAAATAAATAAAAGCCATTGAAAATTTTTTTAAAAATAAAAGTCCATATTATCAATTATATCTTTTGAATTTCAGTTGCAGGAAATAAATCACCATCTATTTTGAGCAGAAAGCATTTAATTCAGAAAATTAGGGAATTATTAGGGAGGCTGATAGGAGTGAGATAAGCTGGGTTCTTTCTAATGATTCCCAGAACATCGCCACTGACCTGTTCTGCCAGAGGAGTGCCACACTCAGGAGGGTAAGAAATCGGAGCCTACTCTGGAAGGGTTGAGTTTAAGAACGCACTTGCGATCCAGGCAGAAAGTCAGGAAGCTGCCACTACAGCTGCCTTTTGACTTCTGTGAAGCTATTCTCTGGACACCAGGATGCTGTTGCAGAAAAACCCAATAATTCCATGACCATGACTGTCAGGAGCACGGAAGAACTTGAGAAGGTGGTACCGACCCTCTTCTGCTTTGCCAGTCTTGCATAATGCACTGGATTGGTACACTCAGTTTCACACCCAGAACCAGCTGCAAGGGAGTAGAAGTGTGGGATTTTTTTTAAACACAGATAAGCATTAATTATTACAAAAGTGATTGTAGAAGTATTACGAAGGCAAAACACAGACTCTAATAAGAACACATAACGGTGGTCTGACTTTGTTTGCAAGGGTCAGAGACATTTTTTCCCCTTGTATTTTTATAATAAATTGTATAGTCTTTTCTGTACCTTGCCTTTTGCATTTAATAGAATATCTTAGATATTATTATGTATCAACACATAATGAGCTTTTACATTCTTTTTTTTTTTTTTTAATAACTGCAAAGCATTCTACAGAGTAGATGTCCATAATTTGTTTTACTATTCCCGTCTCATTGGACACTGGGGCAGTACCCAGTACTTTGGTATCACAAATGATGCTATGGTGAAAGGCCTTGTATTTACATAATTCCCCATGTGTACAAGAATACACATAGGATGAATTTCTAGAAGTAGAAGTCCTTAATCAGTGGGCATGTTGTTTCTAATTTCGTTGTCATTTATAATTGTTTCAATGAAAAAATATTTTATTTTATCCATTAGTTCATTTTTGAATAGTTAATACACACAGGGTAAAAAGATAAATAAAAAGGAACACAAAAGTAGGGAGTGGAAAGCAGATTTCCTTCATAATGCATCCAGAGATATTCTATGTGTACATAAGCACATAGACACACACATATCCATATATATGTACATACAACGTATGAACATATACATTAATGTGCAGAATTTCTCTTCTTTGGGCCAATAATTTTTTTCTGCATATAGTGTATGGGGGTCAGGAGAGTTTTGCCAAGACACAGAGACCTCAGACTTCAGTGTAGCATTGTGTTAGAAACAGTGCTTCATTATTGTCTCATTTAGTGTCAGTGCATGGTTGTTCACTATGCTGGTGCAGTCACCTGCAGGCAAGGATGGCCATGGATACAGGCCCTCCACAGTCTTCCATCTCAGATTTTCTCACAAGATCTTCTGTGTTTTGTGTAGAGTAGTCATCATGGGGTCCGTCTTCTATATAATCTGACAGTTCCCTCTGCCCTTCTCCTGGTTGAATCTGCTCTATCATGTGGCCCCTATATATATATTTTTCTTGCTTTACTCCATTTGGTGGATCATGTTTTGCAACAGTTTTCTGTAAAAGGGTCCATGGAGGGCACATTTTTTGAGATCTTGAACGTCTGAAAATGTTTTTATTCTACTTTCCCACTTGATTGATAAAGTGACTAGATATAGAATTCTGGATTAGGAATATTCTTCAGATTTGGAGGCTTTGCTCTATTGACTTCTGGTTTTTAAGTGCTTGCTATTGAGAAATCTGAAGCTCTTCCGATTCCTGTGATGTGACCAATTTTTTAGTAGGATTTTATCTTGTTCCCAGTGAAACTTCACAATGACATGCCTCTGCATGAGTCTAATTTTAATCCATTCTCTTACACATCCAGTGGGCCCTTTCATTCTGAAAACCCTGAGTCTTCTCTTGAATTATTCATTGCTGCTTTCTTTTCCTGTTATTTAGATGTTGGATCTCCTAACTGGGTTCCACTTATCATTTCTCTCCTCTTTTCCTTCTTGTGGTCTTTTGCTGTTTTCTGGGAAATTTCCCCAACTTCATCTTCCAAAATTTCTTTTGAGTTTTTTTCAATACTGTTATCATGTTTTCAATTTTAAACAGCTCTTTTGTTGTTGTTCTTTGAATTTTTTCATAGAATTCATTGAATAGACTCTTCTCATTTCCCTAAGGATATTGATATAGTATTTTCATTTTTTATTTTTTTAAAGTTTATTTGTTTTCAAGAGGGGGGGCAGGGGAAGGGCAGAGAGAGAAAGAGAATCTCAAGTAGACCCTGCACTGTCAGCACAGAGCCCAGTGTGGCACTTGAACTCATAGAACTGTGAGATCATGACCTGAGCAGAAATCAAGAGTTGGACGCTTAACTGACTGAGCCACCCAGGTGCCCTGATATAATATTTTAAAAATATGTTTTATTTTTCCTAAAAGGGCTCTTTCTTCTAAGTTGCTTTTTTTCCCTATATGTTTGCTTTGTTCTTCATCTGACATGTTAGAGTCTTTCTTCAGATGTCTGGTAATTAGTTGTCTGTTCATGATTTAAAGTGGGGGACTAGGGGGCACCTGGCTGGCCTAGTGAGTAGAGCCTGAGATTCTTGATCTTGGGGTTGTGAGTTCATGCCCCATGTTTGCTGTAGAGCTTACTTTAAAAAATTTTTTTTAATAAATTAAAAAATAAAAAGTAAATAAAGTGAAGGACTAATTTTCTGGGGTATTGTAATTATTCCATATCGTGTTAGGGGTTTGACTTACACAGATGTGTGCATTTACCAAAACTACTCAAGTACGTTTAAGATGTGTGCATTTCAATACTGTATATATAAATTCTATAGCATATAAATAAAAATATCTCTTAAATAAAACTAAAAGCAAGTGAGGAATGAAAACACTAGAAGCTCTAATAAGCAAGTGGGTAGGACTAACCAAGCTATAGGTTTACTTTTGGGACAGGACCCAGGCCTCAGTGGGGCCTGGCATTCCTAGGCTGACTCTCTATCTCTGTAAGGAATAAATCCCAGGCTCTGCTAGGATAAAGGAGGGCAGTTACTTGCGGTGTGGAAGAGGGGAGGTGTTCTTAGGAGCTGCCTGCTTCTCAAACATTTTGTACCCAATCCTCCTTATTTTGGCATGATGTCCCCGCACTACAACTCCAGTTGTAGTTTACTGTAATTACTATATTACTTGTATTACTAATACGAGTTCTTGAACCTTCTGAGAATACTGCAGTGTAAATTGGTTTTTTCTCTGCTTCCTCACTGCCACTCTCCAGGTTCCAAAATATTATTGTTCTTGCCTCCGTGTTTTCACAGCCCCAGAAGGTTTATGTATTTTTTTAAAATAAGTCTCTTTATTGTACTTTTTGTAGGGTTTGAAGAGGAAGAAAAGTTAGATGTGTATTCAATCTTGGGAGTCAGGAAATCAGAAACGTACTTTTTGAGAGATGCTTAGTATCTCTCTGAAGGGAAGATTAAAAAGTCCCTTTCCTTGGACCTCTCTCTGGGTTCATTCATCCAGTTCAGGAACAATCTCTCCTGTATGTCCTGTAACCTAAGAACTAAATGATAAAATTAACCACCCACTACATACCTTATAAGAAATAGTAAGGAAGAGGGGGTACTGGTTATTTAATTATGGGTGTGTGAGGAAGAAAATATGGGTGGCTGCTATAGTCTTACTTTCTGCATCTGGTCACGAGGCCACAGTTGGTATTTATAATTTCCTTCCTTTGTACCAGCAATTCAGCTGTTTGGCGTTCATTTTGTCTGTTAATTCAATTAGTGGCAGGGCTAGATATTTCAGACTGCCAACAAAAATTTTTTAAATGGGTCCTCCTTTTTCCTTTGTTATTTTCAAAATGCAAATCTCCATCTTCTGGCTTTGCAGGGATAGTGTTGATTATTATTGATTCCTATGAAGAGAGAAAAGCAAATAGGTCACGTGTTCTACTTTTCTGTGTAGATGGACTTTCGAGTGAAAATCACAGTTTGACAGCTGAGCACTTCTAGAAAGTTAAGCAAAAGTGGATCCATTTATCAATGGAAGGAAGATGGACATGCCTTGGATTGAAGACTAGAAAGCGGTAAGGCTGCCATTGTTTGTTATCCAGCTTGTGAAGGTTGACCTTGTGTTCAGGAAAATCACCAGCCTCAATCCAGAGATGATCAGCAGGGGTAATTCGAAGCAGAATTAACGTTGTCCTCAAAAAGCAAATTGAGAAGGGTAGTAAAACTTGTTTTGGTGCTCTCCCTCCTCCCTCACCAGCCTCAGCTTCCCCTTCTCTCCCTGGCCTGCATTGCATTTGTACCAATCACTACTAAAACATTGGCTGTTTATGTCTTCTGATAAAATATTGGTATAATTGCTTCAAGAGATATTTGCATTTCAATTAGAGTATTCATCAAAATAGAAAACATTTCAAAATTAAAAAGAGTAGAACTTTACTGATAGAATAGTAGATGATGGGATTAATCTGCCCCGCACCCACTTGGATTTTGACAGAAGTTTCCATTTGTCTATAAAGCCATTCCACTGAATTGATCTCTAATATAGATTATAATTAGTGATGGGATAGGTTATATCCACATCTCCTCATGTCTGGCCCACATAAAGGTGACTTTATTAATTTATAGTTCTATTACTATTAAGCTCAGAATATGGGGGTGGTGGTTAACTTGAATGTTTAAGACATAGTGCTCTAGTCTGTCAATACAGATTGTATCTCGGACCATCTAAACATTTTCCAAATTCATATATGGTCACTAGGAGAATTGGCTCAGGAGCCAATGGTAATGCCCCTGGGTCCCTTTTATCTGGCAATATAAAAACTCTTCTTGGTGCTCTTTTCACATTGGGAAACTCTTCAGCAAGTTTGAGTTGAGAAACCAGTGATGAGTGAGCAAAAGGCAAGCTGAGGGCGAAACATATGTGACATTCCTCAGGCCCGCCTGGCTGCTCAAAAAGATAGTAAAGGGAAAAACAAGTGCTTAACTAATAGAGATTACAGCCGTGCAAGACATGAGTCTCCATCAGTTTGCAACTGTCTTAATGATTTACAAGAAAAAAGCAATTTTGTCAATAGCCAAACCTCCAGAAACCTATAGACTCAATTTCCCGAGACCCTAACATTACCCTCCCCTCTGTAGGATAGAAAATCTTAATAATCAGTCACCCCTCATACTTATAATGCAGCTCTTTCTGCCAAAGGGGCCTGACCTCATGCTACAATTAACCACATTTTTGCACCAAAAGCATTTCAAGAATTCTTTCCTGGCCATTGGTTCCTGAACCCCACTTCAAATTATGATAGAAGAAGATAGGATTCAGTAGTCAGAGAAGGAATGATTATGACCTGAGATTTCTGGGTGGGGAAAAACCACTTATTTTGGAACAATGTTGGGAGTGTCTGACCACAGCAAACCCCCTCAGGTGTAAGGTTCCTCTTAAGAATGTAATAGACACCACCTCTCAGGTATCCCTCAGGAATTTGACAAAAGAGCTAAATATGGCCATAGAGCCCATCAGGAATGGATAACCCAGTACCTAGAGGTATCAAGCCAATAAGGGTAGATAGAACCTGAGAAGGAACCAGGAGGAAGAGAAAAGGGGAGGGCTAACCAGAAGACAAGGACGCTTGCCTATAGTCCTAGAGCATTCACTTTCAAATGTCCTGTCTCTGTAAAGAGAGTTTCCCTACTGTTTGTTTTTTCTAAGCTTATACTCTAATATACTTTTGCCTGCTGCTCATTTTGTGTTCACCTCTTCATTCTTCGAAGTGGCGAGACAACGAATCCCTGGTATTGTGGTAAAAAAATCCTGCAACAAAACCACATCACAAGTGCATTTTAGGTGTTATCAGGGGAGCAAGAATTAATGTCCCTTCAAGGTCCTTCTATCCGGACTAAGAATCAAATTGACATGAGACAGATTAGCAGGAGAAAAAAGAATTTAGTATTGTATATACAGGGAAGTCACACAAACATGGAAATTCCAGACAGGCAAGCAAAGTGAGGCATGTATGTCCTCCTGAACTAAGGAGGAGTAGGGGTCTAGGACTTCAGAGGAAAGGAATGTAATTTACAGAAAAATGAAAAAGAGTAAATGTTTGGTAGACAAATGTTTGTGGGTTATTCAAAAACAATGGGACATAGAGAGGGCTTGGATGAAATAGGCCTTGCTAGGTTACTCCCTGTCTACTATACCTACTTCATGTCTTGTCATTATTTATGGTGATAACTCTCTTCCTGGAGTAAGCCCTCTATCTAAATTCTTTTTGGGCAGTTGACAGGGAGATAAGGAGCTTTTACTATTCTGTTGGGTTTTTATTGCTTTTTAACTTAAAATAGTCTTCATGCCAAAGTGGCCCAGCCTACCATTGGGTCAGCCTGCCATTGGCTCCTACAGTATGAAGTAGTCTGTGTTAACATTGGGAATTTTCCGGGGAAAAATAGGCAAATATTAAGTAATGCCCTAATTACTTATAGGGCCCAAAAAAAGGAATGGTAAAGTATAAAAGGGTTACTTTAGGTTTGCTTTAGGGAAAGGAGATAGATGAAAGCTTTGGTGTTCCTTGGGAGAACTAAAGTGCACACAGATCTTGGTCAAGTGAAAGGATGCCTCTGAGACAGAATAGGAACTGGGCTTGGGCCTCCTCAACCTTGACTGTAAAATCTAGTGTTCTTGGGCTGCATTCATAAAGAAAAAAACCCTCAAACTCTTGCTTCTTGAGTATGCCTTCTTGCAGGAATGAGAAGGAAGGATGCTTACTACAAAGACTGGCAAAGACTGGACCAAACCAGTCTGTGCCAAGGTGGACCCCAGCGCTGACCTTTCACCAACTTTCCCCCTCATTATAAGACTAAAATTTACGCCCAGGAGTAGAGGTTTAACATGCTAATTAGACATGTAACACATGAAACATGACCTTTAAGTGTGCAGGTGCTAATAAATCCCTACCTCTACATGCTTAGGTGAAATCCTTTCCCTACCTGTTTTTTTTTTAAACTCTCCCTGACCTCTCCTGGGGTACTCAGCCTGAGGACACTTTCCTTGGTGCTGTCTCCCTTGTGTTGAGCATAAGTCTTAATAAAGCCTTGAATGGGACTCCCATTGGGCCTCTTGTCCATTTCTGTTGCTTGGAGAGCCCAAGGGTCTGGTTGGGTAACACTTTCCTCCCTTAGATTCAGTATCCACTGATTTGGAGTTTGTGATCATTGACTTTGCCTTTTGTGCTATCTATTGAGAATAGAATTTATTAAACAATTAACTAAACAGAGAAGTTTTCAGAGGGAAATAATGAAATTAGTTTAGAGAAGGAACTCTTTTCGCAGAAACAATTGATACGCTAATTGATTGAATGCCACTAACCTGTTAATTGTAACAGGCCTCCAAGGTCCTTCCCTTGAAATGTTTTCTCAACTTTAAATGTAGCTATTCTGAGTTCTCACAATTAATTACGTGATACCTCCATGATTGTGTTTATAATTCATACCTGCCCTCTGCTCTCAACAAGCAGTTCAGAAAGGGGGATTTTACCAAGAGCTAAGAAATGCGACCATGTGCCAAAGAGCCAATATTAAGGGAAACCTTGACCCTTGCTCAGGAAGAAAGGGGCTGGTAGCAGCAGTAAAAAACTTTCAGTAGGAAGGAAGCAAATGACTTGGGTAAAGTGTTTAGATAGTCTGTCAAATAACAAACCAGAGGAAATTGTGGGGTGGGTCAGGAAAAAGGTTAGCTGAAAAGACCTTCAAAGTAGATGTAAACAGCCTGATAGGCTGGAGTGTGCTTGTGGGTTTGGGTTGCCTGGAGCTGGATGTCCGTTGAATGTGAGAAAATGGGCAGTTTAAGAATTAAAAATAATTTTTTTAATGTTTATTTATTTTTGAGATTCAGAGCATGCAGGGGAGGGGTAGAGAGAGAGGGAGACACAGAATCTGAAGCAGGCTCCAGGCTTCCAGCTGTCAGCAGAGAACCCAACATGGGGCTCAAATCCACACACTGTGAGATCATGACCTGAGCTGAAGTTGGACACTTAACTGACTGAGCCACCTAGGCGCCCCAACAATTTTAAAAACCAGGGAAATCTGGAGTGCCTGGGTGGTTCAGTTGGTTAAGTATTCGTCTCTTAATTTTAGCTCAGGTCATGATTTCATGATCATGGGACTGAGCCCCATGTCGGGCTCCATGCTGAGCATGGAGCCTGCTTTGGGGTTCTCTCTCCCACTCTCTCTGTCCCTCCCTCTCTCTCTCTCTCTAAGTAAATAAACATTAAAAAAAAAGGAAAATCCATGCTTTTGAAAGCTTCTGACCATTTTGTAATCTTTAAACTTTGCAGAAAAAGTTGTTCCCAGAAAAAAGAACACAGGTATCTGGAGCAGATTTACTGTGAAACTTGGCATTAGAACAGAGGCATATTGATGTGAGTCTAGTTATGTAATGGGATGGGAACCCTATTTTATTGTATGGAGATTCTACCAGCAAAGATTCTAATATCATGATCTAAAATAGTATTATTTAGATTTGTATTTATTTCAGTAGGGATATTTATTTGTTTATTTATTTATTTATTTATTTCAGTAGGGGAAGTTACACTCAGTCTTCTGAAACGGTGTAAATCAGATTAGACACCAATCTGAAGGGTTTGAAGGGATTTCAGAACCTCCAGCTAATGATCCTGGAGGAAACCAGGGCCATATGGAAGCCCAAAGACAATTTTATCAGGAAAATAGAATTGGTAGAGGAGTTAATTATAGCAGTAAATAGCAATATTACATTGCAATTTAAAAAAAAAAGCATTTGCTTTAGTTCAACACTTGAAAGTATACATGCTAGCACGTTTAAACAGAGGTTTTATTAAAAGAGGTGAAGTCAAGAGGCCGAGGGCCTGGCTGGCCTGAGGATGCTTGGAGCCTTTGTAGGCTAGGCAGGCAGAAACTTAGACTGAGGTATTTTAAAAATTCAAGTCATTAAGGATTTATAAAATGCATATAAATTTTTCAAAAATATAAACAGCTCAATCTAAAGAAAAATTGATTTAAAAAAAGGGGCGAAGTCAAAACTAAAACCATTGTAATTGCTATATCTATCTAGGTGAATGCTTTGCTCATAGCAAATATGCACATTGGCATGCAATACCAGGCCTTGTGCCAAGGAGGTGGGGCAGAGGAGAGTCCGAGAGAAACCAGGACACTTGCTTGTTAAAATGTTTACTCAAGACATAAATTTAACAAATAAGTCAGGGGAAGGAGAGACAGAAAAGGATTCCTTTGGTTTTTCCTCACTTTCCAGGTCCCGGAGTTGCCACTCATTTCTGTTATGGAAACAACTATTGATAATGCTAGAAATTGACTTAATTATGTTCATTACATTTTAAAAATATTTAAATGTGTGATTTTCCATTTTATTTTTACTCTGATGTTTTGTTACCAATCCATTTTACATGCTTGTTCACAAATGTCTCTCTCACTGCTATACTGGAAGCTTCTCCAGGGGTAAATTTTCATCCTCACAACCCTCAAGATGTTTTGCTTTTTTCCATTCCCTGTAAATCAGCCACATATATCTTTGGACAGTGCTTTGATGTTGCCAGTCCTAGAGGCATTGTTTTGATATTAGAAATTGCTGGAAGGTAGCCAATGTTCGTTCTACCTAGGGAAAATTAAGCCAGTATCTGAAATGGTCACTTAGACATTATTGGAGCCACTCTTGAACTCTTGAACCATTTGCAAGGAATTATAATGAAAATGCAAAGGTAACCAAGTTTTCAGGAGAGTGTGTCAAGGTGTAGATGAAAAGAAGGACCTCTTTATTGCCCCACCACCATTGCTTATGACATCTGCTGACAGATGCCAGAAACCTAGAAATTGGCAACCCCATGCTTCTGGAAAGCACTCTGTTGACCCACTGCCTCTAGAACATCAAGGAAATAATTGCATTTCAAAAACAGTTCATGAATAAATACAATCAGGTATTTTTTTTTCACTGCTTGAATCATTTTTAACTTGGAAATAGAGATAATGGTTACCAGTAGGGGAAATTACACTCAGTCTTCTCAAACATGTAAAGCAGATCAGGCACAAATCTGAAGGGTTTGACGGGCTTTCAGAACCTCCAACTGATGATCCTGGAGGAAATCAGGGCCATATGGAAGCCCAAAGACAATTTTATCAGGTAAATAGAATTGGTAAGGGAGTTGATTATAGCAGTAAATATTGCTCAGAGCACTGGCTTGTAGGACCCATGCTGGATGGTACTTCATCTCTCTTACCGACACCAACAAACATGGCTATGTGGCTCTTTTATTAAGAATGATAGTAATTTGGGGGCGCCTGGGTGGCTTAGTCGGTTAAGCGTCCGACTTCCGCTTAGGTCATGATCTCACGGTTCGTGGGTTTGAGCCCCACTTCGGGCTCTGTGCTGACTGCCAGCTCAGAGCCTGGAGCCTGTTTCAGAGTCTGTGATTCCCTCTCTCTCTGACCCTCCCCTGCTCACGCTGTCTCTCTCTCTCCTAGAAATAAATAAAACATTTAAAAAAAAAAAAAAGAATGATAGTAATTTGATTTTCTCCCTCCATGGCTAGAGCAGCTATTTGAATTATGATATTTGGAGGAGGAATGATAAAGGCAGCAAACTTTTTCAGTATTTCCTGTTTTATTTCCCTCGGCTGCAAAGCTCCTTGCTCCCCACTACCACCACCTAATTATTTTGGCAAGAGCCTCACAATTGCTTCAAGTTTGGTCCCTTCAGTTTGAGTCATCTGCAAGCACTATTTTCAAGTCACTCCCCCACAACAGGAAACTGTAGA